AGAGGTACAAAAGAAAAAAAGCATCCTTTCAGATTACCTTTAATTAATCCAAGGATATTTGAGTTTCCCTATTAAGTGTTCAAAGGCCAACATCTGCTGATGCTCAGAGATGGCAAATGCAGTGAAGAAGGCTGTATGGGAGTGTAAAGTGAACATAACAATCACAGACATGCATGCAAGACAGTATCGACAGTCTGTAGCACAAAAATTATATTTTTTTGCCATTTATCTATTTCTGTTCAGCTATGACAGTGGGTCTTTGTCAATGTGGAAACAATGGGATATTCCTCCTGGCTTTCTTTTGCTCCCTCCCAGTGCATTAAATAGCACATGCAAATTAATGGTCAGACCTTCAAAAGGATTACAATATTGTACATTGGCAAGTAGGCAAATATTGGAAAAAAAAACACAAGGGCAGAAAATAATGCATGATTAAAAATGGAAGTCTTTTATCTGGCATTTCACTCAATAAGCCTGCCAAAAATGGCTCCCGTCCCATTAAAAACAGTGAAAAAAAGTGGTGACGTACCACTACTTGCATTCATGCCAAGCCTAGTTTTGTGGGCATTTAACATGCTGTATGGTGCTTAAGCAAATCAGCCCTAAACCTATTTATGAGCTGAAGAAAACTGACTTGATTTATAAACGGAAAAACCTGGCTGTACATTTTTAAGAAGCAATGCAGCTATTAAATTATTAGGGAATTGCTTTTCAGCCGGATGCCAGGTATTGCAAATCTTTTGTTGGTTATTAACACATGTGTAATACCTGTGGACTGCATGCAACCCAGGCACAGTAAAGCCAATTTCAATCCCACTGATATCAAGAATTTTTTAAAGCAAAGGAAGGCAGCTTGGATGGGTGTGGGAGGATTTTGTCTCTGCAGTACCTCCTGCAGGCCTCACTTCCTCTGCCCAAACCCATTGCCAATCAGAGGGGGAAATATGTAAAGTAAGCTGTTTGCCTGAGCTGAACACACAGTTGTTATTTATCACTGAGATGTGTGAGCAAACTATGAAAAGCCATTTAAATTTCAATGGATGTTTCCCTCAGTTGCCACTGAAATTTCAGTGGTGTGTTTTGCCACTAAAATCTGGCAGCATTCTCAGGGATGCTGGTGTATACGCTAAAATATCCAAGGCCTGTATGATTCCTGCCTCTGTGCTAAGGACAAAAAAAGTCTTACGTATATAAGGGAGTAAGCCAAGATAGTAACTGAACTTTGGGCAAATATACATAGAATTGCATCATATCAGGAAAGAAACTATATAACTCTCCAGTAGAAACCAGAGGCATTTTCAATCTTGCTTAAGAAAGGCTGGATCATGCACTCTGTGTTCATGGCTTGTCCATGTAATCCCTTTAAAGCCCAGTGGAACTCTGTTTCTTCCCTTCCTTCTTTGGTTTAAGGTCAGGCAGATGGCCAGAATATTATGGGAAGGAGGATGTCCATGCAATTTCTATATCCTCACATACACATTTATGTGCCATGCTATTTTTTAGACCTCTAGGAAAATCTACCGCACATAGAGTGAAAATGGGGAATTAAGAAGGGCATACAGAATTTTCAGTCTTCATAATATTCTAATGCATCGCTGTTACACTAAGGAAAGAAGGGAAGACATGGGGCTCCAATGAGCTCTGCAGGGATTATTCTGCTTGGAGCTGGCGCACTTGTATCATGGAAGATTGTTCGCCATTTCTAGCACAACCACCTGCATCCACTTTGTTGGGTTACCTGTGATTAGAATCAGTGTTTGAAGGATGCTACCCAAGTCTAGTTAACTGGTCATATTTGATCATTTGGTTTATACTTGTCTATGTATCCTCTACTATAAACTTTGATTAGTTGGATTTTATATGTTTATTGGTTTTTCATTTACTATTTTATTCTATTTTATTATGCCAATAAAGGTATGATGATTATGATGATCATTATCGGTGATTGCACAAACTTTCAGCGTTTGTTGTTATAATATTCTTCAGCATTCCATTGTTCCATATTTATTTAAAGACACATTGTCTTTCTTTAAAAAACTCATAGTGATTTGTACAACTGAACATGTCACTTTGGAATAAAAAAGATGATTATTTTGTATATGTAGAAAAAGCTTGTGATTGTGCTGAATGGGAGTATTTATTTGAGGATTGGTTTTTGTTTTTGTTTTTTTGCTTTGGGGCTTGGTTTATTTGGACAATCTATAAATCTAATCTATAACAAGAAATAGTTAATGGACCTTGAGCCTCTAAATGATGCTTCTCCTTGTTTTCATTTAAATTAGGAGCCAACTGAAATAGCTGTAAGGAACAATTACTAATTCTAAGGGATTACCAAATGATGGATGATAATAATGATATAGCAGTTTTCAGTATATGTCTAGACCAGACTTCAACTCTCAGAAGCCTCAATAGGCAAAGCAAGTGATCAGGGATTCTATGAGTTGTGGTCCAGTGACATCTTGGGGCCTAGGTTTGAGAACAACCTGTCTAGCTACAACTGCAACTGAACTTACTAAAATTACAGAGCAATATAGAAATGTTACAGGATATCAAGTAGATGATTCTAAAGCTGGGATTTGAAGGGTTTTCTCTCTTATGTTACAAGAGGAACCCGGACTAGTTAAACTACTAATTTTCCAGCTTCAAAAGTCACCCATCTGATTTTTAGATGCTACAAATTTTAGTAGGAATACTATGGGATTGAAAATAAGTAAGTCTCAACTGTAGCATGGACTGTCTCTTAGCCATTCTCCATTTGAAAGCATTAAAAACGAATATTCTATGGAAAAATAATGATCTTGCACACAATATACGGTACTATTATCTCAAAAAATATTAAAGTATTGGCAGTGAGTGATAAATATGTTTATTGGGGGAAAGCCTAGAATATAAGACAACACACAAGTTTATGCAAGGTACTGATTTAGACACCAAATATTTGACAGTACCTGTCAAGATGTACATATTCTCTGGAAAATTCTTTGCATAAGTGATTAGATGCTTCCTCAGGAACACTTTTAGGTTTATTAAAACTGGCAGACTACATTACATTTATTAATATGGATGTCATGTGAGGAAGGCAATATTAAAGGTCTGTGATTAAAGATGGGCATGAACCACTGGACGAACAGGTGTTCAGCAGTTCCCAGCCTTCTACAGCAGGTGCCACTCAGAGACAGTGACCCAGCTTTCCTGCCTCACCTCCTCTGAGCATGGCCTCTGAATGGGCACCCATCAGGGGAAGCAGGGCTGGGAAATGCTGAACATCTGTTTGTCCAAAGGATCAATTAGCATGAACTGCCAAAATGACAGTTCACACCCATCTCTATCTGGGAAACTGTTATATACTTAGACATGCAAATACATTGAGATTACTTCACATTGGATTGTCTTTAAATTCTATAAGAATTTGGTAAGAATAGGCAACTGGGTTTTTAAAAAATATATACAGTTCTTGGGGAATCTATATATCTATGGACGGGATCGCTATACAATGCCTGGATAAAATGTAGGAGACACAACTATCAAAGCAGATGTGTTCAGAAATATGAATCATACCTGTGAAAAGAGACCTATTTAGGTCTAGGAAACATTTTGAAGAATGGAAATAGCTCAAAGAAGAAAGTTTTAATTAATATTTGGGAAGATACATGGAGGAAGGTAAACACATATGCTTTTCTCTACGGGTATCTCTTCCAAAAGAAATGCATAAAGATTTAGATCTATATGTATATCCAGGGTACTCATGGAAATCATGAACACAGATATGTCATGTCAACAAGTGACAAAGGAAGTATGTGCTTTTTATGGTAGTGCTGGTTAAACGAAATGACTAAATATTCTGAATGTACTGCCAATACAGAATTGAATGCTTATGGCTAAACCAGTTCTGGATTGTAAAGTATGTAGCTTCATAGATTTTAAAGGTTTAGGCTGCAATTCTACAACTACTTATCTGGGATTGTGCCATTTGAACCCAATGGGACTTCCTGGGCAAAATTCTGTTGGTGTAAATTTACACTGACATAACTCAGATTGGGCACCAGAAGTTAATAATTTAAATTAATGGAAAGCTTCCTATACCCTCTTTCAGATTCTGAGTGTCTCCAGCCTCCCCTCCCCCCTTGTCCTGAAGAAGGCTTTGGGAGCCTCTGGATTGTAGGAAGCCTTTAACAGTAAAAACAGCATATTTTTTTACCATTAAAAGCTCTCTCTTGCATCCTGAGGCTTTCAATACTTCCTCAAGGCAAAATGGAGCCCTAGGAAGTCCCAGAACCTAAAAAAGGGGTGGAGATAGGAAGCTTTCCAGTAGTTCGTATTAAATGTTTCTAGCATCCAATGTCAGTTAAAATGGCATAAATTTAAGCATGGCCTTTGCCCAGCATTAACATTTAAATGATTGTACGCAGTTTCAAAATTTGTAAAATTTGTAAAATTTAAGAATGTGCATTTTAATTCTAAACATGTTTAAATGCAGACGTTTTATTATATAAGTTAATGGCCACAGGATTATTTTATGATAAATATTGGTAAAGGCATAAGTGAAAAGGAGAAATATTTCGGGTAATAAAATGTTGTTCTTTTGCTTGTATTGTACTCCAAACCTTTATTCATTTTCTCCTTTTGTACTTGTGCTGGTTTGCATATGTAAAAAAAACACACATCATTGAAATCCGGCTCTATACTCTTCTAATTTAAATAGTGTACTATTTGGAAAAAAACAGCTGTGTATGATTGGAATCTCATAATTCACAGTCACTTTTGCTGGGTGACCACAGAATCTGTGTTTGCCATTCAATGCAGTGATGTGAGGCATATAATCCATACGTCCCACTGAAGCTAAGTCTCGATGATGTGCAAATACAGGAGGAAAAATGTCAGCAATAGTTTGCCAATTGCCAGGAACCCATATTTTAGAGAAAACAGAAATAGATGATGGGAAAAAAATAGATGTCTGAAGAACAAGCAAAGCTGGCCTAATCATGCTCTTTATTACTTACTACCGATGCTGGAAATACTGGGCATACCTGAAAAGAAAAAAGAGATTTTTGGTTAGGTATGCATTCATCTCAATATGACTCTCAAGTCCAGTACAATTTATATTTTTGTCCTGATAATGTACAGAGGTCTTTATTTATAAAGGGTAAATGGAAGGATCTAGATAAAGTCAAGCATTCTTTATGGCCCTGCTAAATTCAATGGCAGACTGAAGCTAATGCTGTTGAACTTCCATAGAAATCAATGGGTGCTTTAAAATGCTAAGTTTTTAACATGCTAAGTTTTTCCAAGTCCTTCATAGGTAAGATTTCATGAAGGCTTATTTCTAAAGATCCTGGTTTCTTGTAGCCTTTTTATCAGTCCTACATTTAATTAGATATACAAGGAAGGAAAAAAAATCTTGTTAATGCCTACAGACAGGGGGAAAATATGTTGAGGTGAATATAGTAAAAATGAGAATTCATGCACCATCAACTACTTTGGCCAGCTGTTGAGAACAACTGCTTTTATTAGATCAACATAATCTACATGTCACTTTTTGTTTTGTATCCCTGATATCAGTGATGCGTGTGTGTCAGAGAAAGAGAGGGTTTTTTTTTTAAAAAAAGCTCTTTATTATCATCTTAAAACTTCAAAGCTCGAAGGGACCCTCCATCCTTCATTTTCCTTTCCTTAACTGGCATTTTGATGCTGAAAGACTGGACTGTTAGTGTAAGTGAAGTAAGTTCCTAAACTTGTAACTGCTTGCAGAAGTAATCAAACTACTTTGTTGTGAGAAATATCACACATGTTGATTTTATAAAGCATCAGTTGAGAAAAAATGTATCACCTGAGGACAGTTAGATATTCCACCTCCAATTTCTTCACACTGCCAGGTGATCTCATGACAGCAAGATAATGATGTCATGAAATAAAGCATTTTTTCCAAACTGATCTTATTTTTAAATAAGCCCATGAACTGTGAGAGGCTCCAACAGATGCTGATGTGTTAATACATGCCAGAAGCTGTAGGTGTTTGCAAATGTTACCTATGTCCAAACACTGAAAAGTCACTGGAAACGGCAAACAAATAGGCTTTCTTTTCATGAACCTTTATATTCTGTGTCAGAACTATTTGACTTTCTTTTTCTGTAATTCAGTAGTGATAACAGCAAATCTCCCACTGTGGATTAAGAGCATAATTTTACTTGATTGATTTGGCCTCCAACGTATTCTATTCGAAGATACACAACTGTGTCTCTGAACTAGTTTGGTATTTTACACTAATTTTGAGATAAAATAAATTTTGAGATATCTCTTTTCAGCTTCCCATGGACTTGTTCAGTCTACAACATGAGACATTGCTTCCTAATGTTTATTTTATTGAAATGTGTTTCTGTCCACAGCCATAGTAAAATGTAGCATTATTTGGCACAGAAGGTTCAGGAATGGTTGGAAAGCGAAGACACAATATTTAATGTCATCATTAAATATACTTTCATGGTGGGACTGCAAAAACAAAACACAGACCTAATTGAGTATCACTGCATTAAAAGTTGTCTTAACTACTAACAGATCTTTGCAATGTGTTATAAAAACAAATGTATGTATACTTTTGCTAGGATGTCAAATATCCCAAATACTAGACAAGTATTATACGTACTACATTCAGTAGCTGCCTAGAATTGTTTAAATATTCTTATTTTGAATTATGAACATTCTAAATGTACCTCAACCATTTTCATTGTCAGTATAAAAAAATTACACTGTATAGTGATAGTAAGAAGTAAGCCAAATGGAGACATGTACTTTAGCACATTAAAACTGTTGCTGTGTAGGTATTATCTGAAACACTTCCCTTTGGCAAAAAGTAGCCTTATATTAGTTAAACCCCAAGTTTCTGTGAGTTTATCTACAATGCAAATACTGTATGATCAGGGTATTTTTGTCCATAGAAAAATACTGTAGTGGTTTGCCTAGTCTAAAGGACAGAGTAACCCTTTTACAAATGAAAGCCTTCAAGGCCAGATCCAAATGTTATATAAATGGGAATGGAGTAGTCTCTGTTTGTGACTGGGGATGTAATAGCTGTATGTGTGTTCTTATAAGAGCTAATACTTACATGCCAATACTGACAAATAAAATCAAAGACAAGTCAATTTAAGAGGATGATATGGAAGCAGATAGTTGAATCCAACATTGCATAAGAAAATGTCTGCTTGCATGATACAATTTCTGTATGCTCGCCTTTCCTGCACCCCTTATGCCACCTGAAATCTTCCCCAGAGTGCCCTCCAACACTTCAAAACAGAATGGTTGGAGGATGAATCCATTCTGCTGGTGGATGATGAATCCACTCTGCTGGTGGATGCCTTTTGATTGGAGGCAAAACTGGATGTCTGCAATCAAGAGGTTTGTTTGTTTGTTTGTTTTTTAAGTTGCATTGATTAACAATTGTTGGCTTCTGGTTGAATTCAGATGCTCATACTTAGACTAAAATGAATCAAAGAGACCAAAGAAGAGCCCAGAGATGCTAGGGGGTGGGGTGGGGATCCACACTCTGGAAAATGTTGCTAATCTCTTAAGGGAAAATGCTGTGATCTCCAGACTTGTTAGCCATTTCCTGTAGTTTTCGGAAGTGTAGCTTTTTCATGACCTCATCCTAACGAATCCCGAGATTTGTAGTTTGGGGAAATACTTCAGTTTCTCTACTGTAGTTCAAGGGAGTACACCCTTTAGCAAAGAATTCTCAGTGAACTACAAATGTCATAGGATGGAAATAAGTCAGTTACAGTATCAAACCATGACAATGGCATAGTATTTATTTATTTATTTGATTTATTTGATTTATTTGATTTATACCCCGCTCATCTGGTATATTCTATAGATATGTATTAGATAAAATGATCCCTTCATCTCTCTCAGTGTAAGAGGCAGAGGGTAGGCACAAATAAAGGAGTGAGGGTAAGCACACACAAAAAAAGAGGACACAATTTCTAGGAAAAATCTGTGCAATTGCCTAAAAGAAATGAGATGCGAGATCTTCCAAATCAAAAGCCAACAATGGAGAGGTAAGAGCAGAGCTGGTGTGTTTTCCTACCGAGCATCATTCAAGCTGAATTTTTTCTGAGGCTGTGAATTCTCTGTGTGTGAGAATGGGGGGGGGGATGACAATCCAGCGAATTTCAAAACCTATCTTGAACACAGCTTTAAAGTATTCACTCTGTGATCCAAAGGTCCTTTTTTCGTGAAAATTAATGCTCTTACAAAATGTTTTTCCCTTCTTTTTGAAGGTTCGTTTTTTTCCTTGCCTGGTAGGAATTTTATCATAATTTCATGCCCCCCCAGTACTTCATGGTTTGTTACTTGCTCTATTACTTTCACATTAAACTTGATAAGGTCCTGCTTCTTGTGATATTCATTTTGGAGGTTTGATTCCTCACAGCTGCTGCTTTGAAGTGTGAGATAACATTTGGAACAGGGCACATTGCTGCTGCTGTGTGTTTTTAAACTTTTCATTTAGCTGTGGCACATAACCCTGTTTCTTCAAAATAACTTTTCAGTGAATGGTTGTTTCCAAAGCCATCTCTCTCTCTCTTATTCTCTCTCTCGCTCTCTTTTAAACCGGGCAGAACTCCAGACTTCCGTTAAAAAAACAACGAATAACTTTGACTACAAAAAGTCTGGACAGCTTATATTCTGCTTGTTCCTTCTGACCACCCTCTGAAAGATTTAGAACAAAAGTCAAATGAGCAAGAATTCAGGTTGATGCAGACCTCATTTGCAAGCATGGCAGAATGGATTCTTGAATTTCTTGGTTTTGGTGCCCTTTCCTTCATAGCACACCCTGCTCCCCAGTCTGAACTGGGCTGTTCACAACACCTTTAGCTAGAAGAATAGGCATATAGGAAACCATCCAGCCATAAAGCGAAGCACTGGTAAGATTTCAACATGAGAGTAAGCACCAGCTTTAATGTCTCTCAATGAAATAGTCAGGACTTCAAAGGATTTAACATTGATTGCATCATGCCAATTGTTTTTCACTAGCTTATTAATAGTTGTTTTTGTTCTCCTGCTACAGCAAGATGCACGGAAGGAAGACTTTCACAAAATTCCCAGGGTCAATGGCACCCACAATGCACAAAGAGATATTTCTGGATGAGATTCCATTGTGTGTGAGAGGCACAATATACAAAATGTGAACCTAACAGATGTCCTTTCCCTTTTTTTTCTGTGACCATACAACTCTTGAATCTGAAACAGCATCTAACTCTGACCACAGTCAAACAAAGAGGATGAGGAAGAGTAAAAAGAGTGACCCATGTATACTTACCTCTTGCATGAGCAGTTATGTATTAGGGACAGCCAGCTGCAACAACTTCTGCATCACTGGGTCTTATACTTTCAAGATCTCTAAGATCCTCAACATCATGAATGCTAAGCAACAGATAGAACCTCAAACCATGGCATTTCTGCACTCTGAAAGAGCACAAGCCTGTGTTATACATAAGCATAGCTCTGGTGCATCACTATGTGTGAAGTAGGGATGTAAATCTTCACTTATTTTATTCTTGCAGATGAGCATGAAAAAAACATATTAAAACCATTTATCCTTGCTAGCAGAGATTATGTTAGGTTTTGTGTGTTTTTCCCATTTTGGGACTTTGCAAAAACTTCCCAGAAGTGGTTTTTGCACCAAAAAAGTTATATATATTTTTTTTTTACAAAAACCTTGCATTTTCCATTAAAAAACTGTTTGTGTGTGAAAAAAAAAATTAATGTACAATTCGAGTTCTTTTGTTTCATGAAATGCAAGATTTCTTGTGCAACATGCAAGGGTGGCTTTGTTTTGTTTTGTTTTGTTTTAATAAAGCTGCTGCTGACCAAAAACATCCCTGGCTGTTTTGATCTCATGTAGCGTCAACAATTCTCAAAATGACCGACAGTTTTTTGAAGGGATTTCATGATGTATCAAGAAACATTTCTTGTCGAGGGCAGAAAAACTGTGAATTTCAATTACATCCTTAGTGTGAACCAGTGTTGAGCAGTGCTCAGAGTGTTGGCTCAGGATTGGTAAGAGCCAGGTTTACATCTCTGCTTTGTTGTGAATCTTACTAGAACTGGGGATGCATCACAGTCTCTTAGCCTAACCTATTTGACAAGGTTGCTGTGATGGAGAAAGAATGGGATGTAAACAAAATCAATTGTTTGTTTATATGCTGATTTTCTCCCAGAGCTATAAAATGATTGCCATATTATAGGCTGTTAAAATATGTTCCTCCCTTCCTTTATATGTCTAGCATTTGTGCACTGTAAAGAGGATATGAAAAATAAGAAGTTCAGATGACTTGAATTGTCATGTGATAGAACAAAGGACAATACTATTATTATGGTACATGTTACGGTGCACATAAATTAAAGCAAGAAGGAAAGCTACTGCACTGGTGGATGCACCAGTCATTCCCTACCCACTGCCTTCCAGATGTGATAGCTTACAATTCCCATCACCATAGCTAGCATGAAATGGGAACGCTGGGAGTTATAACCCAGCACATTTGCAGCTAGCAACAGGCTGAGGGAAAGCTGCTATATACATAGTGATTTTGCAACAAGTCCCAGTAAATGCACTGGGGCTTATTTCTGGGCAGACATGCACAGGATGGTATTGAAAATCTGATGAAATGCTTCCTGTGAATGCATGCCATTATTTTTGGCTAATTATATAATAATGATCATCACCATTGTCTAAGAACGGCAGAGCTGGAAGGGACCTGATGGATTATTACTTTGAACAGACTTAAGATTCCAGGCTAAACTTTAAAACCTCAAGCCCTTGACCACAGAGGGACTTCCTTTCAAGCCAGCAGGACTGCACAGCCTGTAAGCATTTTAGTTTTCCACAAAGGTAGGATAACCCATGTTTGCTTTGAGTCTAAGCCACCTGTTCTATTGAGATCGTATCACTACCGTGGCACCACCGTTGTGCCCAAATACTCACAGATATTTGCTGTGCCCCTAGGAATGGGGAGGTAGGAGCCTGGGCTCCATGGCCGTCCCTGATAATTCTTCTTACATTTCCCACAGTCTGGGCCTGTTGTGTTGTGCTCACATTCACATAGCAATCTTTTGTTTTCTTCTCTGCAGCCAGTGGCATGAAGATTGCACTTGCACCTGACAAAAGAAAGGGAGAGAGAGGAAAGGGGGGGGGGAAGAGAGAACCAAGGTGTTATCACAAGTGAAGATCTCATTTCAACCTGTTTTGCTCCAACTGAAATTCTGCTTTTGGCAAGAAACATCTACATAACAACAACAACAAAATGCCCAAGTATGTTTTTCTTGTTGCTGTTTTAACTTACTTGGTTTAACAATAACAAGAACCACCCAGAACCATTTCAAATTGCTTTCATGCATCAATGCTGTGACGGCTGGATATTGCTGCCTGGTGTATACTAAATCAAAAAAGAAGTAACTGCATGAAAACTTTTAGGGTCTGATGCCTAAACCCTTCCCTCAAATCAACAAAGCCAGAATAATTCACATTGGTATATTATATTCCATGGACAAATCTATAGAGTAAACTGTCATTCCTGCTTTCTCAGAACCTTGGCAATTGGAAGGTACATACACACACACACACACACACACACACACATGTACCTTCAAATTTTTTGTGTGTGTGTGTGTGTGTGTGAGAGAGAGAGAAAGAGAGAGAGAGAGAGAGAAAGTATACAGGAGCTGGAGATTGCAAACAGAAAACTCAAACCTCACCCAGCTATCCTTGTTTTAGGGGTTAGCTGTATTAGTCTCTCACAGCAAAACAGAAAAGTCTGCTGGCATTTTAGATTAAGTGGGTGACTAGACGAGTATATTGTTCATTATTTGGTTCACTTTTGGTGTGGTTTGCATCATCCTATTTTCTGACAACTACATTTGTTTAAAGTAAGAGTGATCCAGCCTGCTTCCTTCTGGCATAGCATTAGGGCTACAGCTTATTTGGAGAGATTGGGATCACTCCTGATTACCTTGTTCCGCAGTTTGTGTGCTTGCTTAATTCATTCCCAAATAGAGCTGTGGGCAGCCTTCTCTTCACTTACCGCATTGTGACATATGCAATGGGCTGTGACAATAGAAAGGATGATGGAGAAACTCTCTCCTTTATTTTCCTCTTCTCAGTTTTTTTTTAAAAAAACTCCTAAATCATGCAACACTATTTCAGATATAAGGGAGTATCTGTGCTAGACTGATGTATTGCAGTAGTGTTATGCCACTTAGTAGATGAAACAAGAACAACAAAAGTGAAGTCACCATGGAATGTAGAATGACAACAGCAAAAGGTTAGTGTTATGCCACTTAGTAGATGAAACAACAAAAGTGAAGTCACCACGGAATGTAGAATGACAACCACAAAAGGCGGAGAAAGGGGTAGGAGCATCAATCATTGAAAAAAGGACAAATGGGAATGATCTGAAGTGTTGTCTGGATCCTTCTCATGGGAGAAGAAATGTCTATGTAAATGGAAGGATCACTGAAACATGAGATAAAATAGACTGCACCAAAGACAAGTCTTTAAAACATGGCCTGGATTGCTCCAAATTTCTTTGTCTAGTTGTGCCCTAATATATTTTATTCAACGTAAGATTTTGGATTGAAGCCCAGTTCCTCAGCTGAATTAGCTCATATGTGTGTGTTTTTTAATGAAGACATGCTTGGTGAAATGATATTGAACTAGAATGACCACTTACATATTGCCAAGATAGTTGCACAGATTTGCATTAATTCCCTTGCATGCCTCATCACTGCCTCAAGGTTCACAACACAGTATGAGGCAACAGCACAATCTGGGATTTGTACCATGTGATATTCCCCCCTCTATTATTTATTGAGGATATGCACTCACAACTAAAAAAATTACAAAAAGTTATAGTCTACTGCAACATGAGTGAAATAATCATTTGTTACAATGACATCCCAATGTGACAACCTTAATGTAACTTGGTTATATGCTTGCTATTGGTAAAAAGAACTCATTAGAAATAACTGCTCATTGGTAACTTGTCACTTCTCCATATATAATTTATGGCTGCTTTTGAAATTTACTTTTCTCTAAGCCAGCTTATCAGCAACAATTAAAACAAACAGAAAAATCCAAAGCATTTTTAAAAACGTATGTATAACCTTTCCAAACATGAAAAAGCCAAAACAAATTCAAAATACTATACTAATCTCCATCCCCCCTTCCTGCCCAACTTTTAAACTTTACACAAATTTACAGTTGCATGAACATAAATATACCATGCTTTTTTTTACAACCCTAGCTGTCTATATAGACAGAAAATTCTATTTTACAAAAAGCCAAACCAAGATATTTTGCTGCCTGAGGCAAAGCCAGAAACAGCACTTTCTGCCTGAGTTAGGTGCATGGCTTCTACATCCAGGCAAATTATTTTGGTACATGGGTTAGCAAAGCTGACAAAATCCTTTCTTTAGCTCTGAGATTTAAAAATGTGATACAAAGCTCGCTATCTTTTCAAGACCGCTACATATTCTTCTAACGGTAGTGATGCCACTGACATACAACCTAGGTTAAGATCTATTGAAGCTCACAGCTGTCTTATGTTGAAGAGGCCCCCACAGCACTGTATAGAACCTGAATTACTATTGTTGCTTTCCTCTGTTTCTGTGTTTAGAAATCCCCCCCCCCCTTTATGGTCTCTTTCGAGATGAGGAACATTCTGTTAAAAAGCCTGCAGACAACACTTCAAAAGTCTTGAGTGTCAGAGGACAGGGTTAATGTAGAGAAAATCAACACAAAGCATAGCAAGTGAAGAAGAGGAAAGATTATTCCAAAACACATTCTTTATCCTAGTGCCCCATTCCTGAACCTGATGCCCTTCTGAAGTGTTGGACTATAATGCACACAATCCTCAGCCAACAGTGACAATGCTAGAGGGCATCAGACTGGAGAAGCGTGCCTTAAAACTTGTACAGCAGTCTTGCAAATCGGCTCATTTGCTTTGGGAAAAGCACAGAGGTTTCATGAATCTTACTCATGTGCTCTTCTGGTGGCAATTCTACGTTGCTACAGGCAACTGAGGTAACAACCACAACAGGCAACTACATGAGGGGCTGTCATGCAAGGGCAAAGTGCAGTGCAAATGTGGTACCTTTCTGATACAGTTATATATTTCTGGAGACTACTATAGGTGAAACAGCAGTACATAGTAAGAACACCACATTTTTTTAGCTGCAAAATAAGTTAAAGTTGGATTTTCCAAGGCAGCTAATCTTAAAAAAATAAGGATCATGTTTCCAAGGCATGTGAAATGTAATTTGCACTGAAGCATTTACACAACTATTTTCCTTATGAAATTCCACCACAAGGTGATCGTGAAAAGTAGAAAAAAAGATCAGATGAGTTTACTCTTTAACACTGAGTTGAGTTAGCAGAAAAATTTGAAAACTTCCGTAATAAAAAGAACTGCCTTTGACCTACCCTTTGTTCTGAAGGAAACATGAGGCTTTCCAGTTTTACCTTATGTGTTCCACAACAAGGGATGCTAGAAGCTGGCAGCTGAATAACACCTGGAAGTCTACACATCCCCCTAAATCCCTGTCTGTGATTATGAGATGGATTGAATCCACAGGCTGGAGTTTACAAGAGTTAAACAGGACAGTTGAGGGCAGGATATTTTGAAGATTGCTCATTCATAGGTTTACCATACGTTGGGGTGAACTGATGACACAACAACAAGAACAAATGAAAATGCTTGTAGCTTGCAGCTCTGCAGATGTCTTGATGTGGCCATGTGCAATTTCACAGTATATCACCCTGTACATATGGACTTAAGCACTGATTTAATGGAGCTATTTCAACCAAACAGCATAGGATTGCCATTTCTGCTAACTTATTATACATATCTAAACTGCATTCCTATGACATTACAAGGTCTTCTCTCCCAAGGTTTTGGATTATGTACTAAACTCCTTCCATGAATTGAAAACCACTTTCTATGAGATGGATTGAATCCACAGGCTGGAGTTTACAAGAGTTAAACAGGACAGTTGAGGGCAGGATATTTTGAAGATTGCTCATTCATAGGTTTACCATACGTTGGGGTGAACTGATGACACAACAACAAGAACAAATGAAAATGCTCGTAGCTTGCAGCTCTGCAGATGTCTTGATGTGGCCATGTGCAATTTCACAGTACGTCATCCTGTACATATGGACTTAAAAGCAAGTGCACTGATTTAATGGAGCTTATTCAACCAAACAGCGTAGGATTGCCATTTCTGCTAACTTATTATACATATCTAAACTGCGTTCCTATGACATTACAAGGTCTTCTTTCCCAAGGTTTATGTACTAAACTCCTTCCATGAATTGAAAGCCACTTTCTAAACATTCTTCAAGGAACTGAAAAAGCTTTCTAGATCAGGGAGTGCTTTTCATCAACATTAAAGCACTGCGATTTCTTTCCAGTAGATGTCAGAAATGGTTTAAAATCACCACCAAGTAGATGCTGGAGAGGTGCCCAGATATTTAAGCAACTATGCTTGATTATTTTACTCATAGTTTAACATTGGGTGGTTAGACAGATTCTACTTCTGTGGGCATTTGTCACCTGTTCCATGGAATGATGAGTAATTAAGGCTAACCAGCACAAGGCATGGGCAAGATTATAATTTATTTAGTGCAAATGAAGAAGTGCCATTTCTGGCTTTCATTAAAGGATGATGTGACCTAGAGCAAATGGCAACCCAAACATACATCTCCACGGTAAAGCATTTTTCTAGTGGTTCTAAGGAATTTTTGAAGACAAACAGTAGCCAGGTAAGTGCAGTATACATCCCCTCTACAGCTGAAGCTCATGACAACCCATGACAAGCTGTTATTTAAGGAACTGCTCTTTCAAGCTGGAAATATTAAAAAGCAACTTTTATTTTTAATCAACATTGGCATGAAGAAAACTCCTCATCAATAGACTTATAAAATGGGCTCTGAAAAGCAGACAGTTTAATTACTCTACATTTATGGGGCTAAATGTCCTTAAAAAGACTTCATTTTGCAAATGAAGAAGTGCCATTTCTGGCTTTCATTAAAGGATGATGTGACCTAGAGCAAATGGCAACCCAAACATACATCTCCACGGTAAAGCATTTTTCTAGTG